TACCCATCCTCAAAATTTTTTAAGTTCCAAACTGAAATTCTGTGTCCATTAAACAGTAACTCTCATTTCCTCTGCCCAGCCCTTGGAAATCTGCCACTATGAATTTTATTATTATATTAATAACAATGATTACAAGTATCTCATATAAGGAAAACCATATGATAAACTTGCTTTTTAAAGAAAATCTAATTAACACCAAAATAGTGACTAGAGTGAACATGGCAACTTTATTAGTTTTTGGGTTTTTTTTTTTTCATTTTATGTATTTGGTACAGCATCTCACTATGCCACTACGCAGCCATCTCCCTGGCCCCCAAAATCTTTCTTTCTTTTTCCTTTCTTTTCATTACGCAGTTTAGACTGCGAGTGATCCTCCTGTTTTTAGTGGGATTACAGGGGTGCGCCCCACACCTGGACTCGAAGGCTCAGCGCACCCTGGGGGCAGGGGCATGGGGACCAGGGATTGAACCCTGGTCCCTGTGCTTGCCAAAGCAGGCGCTTAGTCTGCTGAGCTATCTCGCCAGTTCAGCTGATAGTGTTTTATTATTATTATATCCATGTCTTCAACTATTTCCTTTTCTGGTATTAAAAGAAAATAAGAATTTTAAAAAAGAAGCAAGCTAAAGAAAGAGATGGGTCATCTAAAGTAATTCTACCACACAAATTGAAGGAGACACTATGTGACCAAAGAGAGACATGACACAGTAACCAAAGTACAAATAGGGAAGTCTGCACTTGAACTCCCAAACAAAAACTTAGAAGGGGCTAATAGGAGCTTTGCTATGTTTGTAAATTACAGAAATGGTCATATTAGACATTATACAGTAAACAGTAATGTTGAAATAAATTCTAAAACAAAACACGTGTGAATGTACACATACTACATGCATTTTTTTAACTACTCACTTAATATTATTACCATGGCCAATCCTTCAATTAATAATGATCATAAACTACTTGTATATTTGTGCTTCAACACAGATGCCTACCAGTGACGGAATCACAAGTGAGCTATAGAGGTTCAATAAAATAATTAATTTCCCAAACTTACTTCTGCTATTTTGGTGCTCATTAGTGTAGCAGAAAGTTTACAAAATCTTTTATCTCAGTAATAAAAAGATTATTTAAAAAGTTATTCATGTTTTAAAATAATTTTCATTATCTAGATGTTTAACATGGTTTACTAAATATAAATTTAGTGGTAAACGAAAAAATGATATAACATTAATAGTCAAATCTTGCTTTGAGAACTATACTAGCTGACATTAATTCAGCTAATTGTGTAATTTTGTTATCTGTTGAAATATTGCTCTAACAGTTACTAGAGCTACCTAATATTTTAGATGTCCTAATAAAAGAAAAAAAAAGAGATATGCTAGTTAGGTATAGTTGGGAATAGGCAATACTGTTAAAACAAGAGTTTTTCATTGGTAGCACTTAATGATAAAATACTAGTGAGCAGCATTTATTTTACGCATTGTTGAGGTTTTGTCACACTATATTAATCTTCACTGAATCTGACATAGCTTTCCTTTTCAATGCTACTTAGTACATATTTACTTACTTTTACTTTTAAAATATAAGCACTGAGCTAACGCACTAAACAAAAGCCAGAGATCCTCACCTAATTTATGGCATTCTGCCACACCCCGCATCCTTATGTAAATGCACAGGCCCATTAGAGTCCAAGCTTTTCTCCTAAATTGCAGCATAGTGGTTTAATGACTTGATGCCAGATTAGTGCAATAACACAGAAGGATGCACACTCAGTGATTGTGAAGCTTACGCGTTTCCCAAGTGTAAATCATTATATACTAGCATGATTTGCCTATAGATGGAGCAGGCCATACACCTCCATGCCTGGCTTAATGTACTTTAATATATCTGATTTTTGTAGAGAAAAAAGAGCATACTGAAAAAGTAAGTAGGGTGACAAAGAGGAGTGGGTCACCCTTGAAAATGCCACCAAAGCATAAATGAGTTCTCTCCCTTTCCCATGAGATCAGCTTCCCATGCCTTCCTCGGTAATTAGTATTTTGCTCTAAGGGTGAAAGTGAACATCAAGGGGGAGATCTGGAGGATTTGTCCCTATCTATACATTCAGGAGAGGATCTTATAAGCTCTAAATGACTGTGCAAGATACTTTTAACTCCAGAAAATTCAGCAGGGAGAGACATTATATTACCTATATGTAAGATATCTAATCTCTATATGTAAGATATCTATATCTCTATATCCAAAAGAATTTTATTAGCCAACTACTTTTACTGTTAGACATATATGAAAACCTACAGGAAGTGTGCTTCTGCTCATCACTTTGGTTTTTTAGTTCCACTGAATAAAATTAAGGAAATATTTAACTAGTTTCCAAATATTAAAGTCAAAGTGCTTTCTAAATACAGTCAGTTCCCTAATTTCATGACCATTTACCCAGAACATAATAATTTTCTTAGAATAACAAAATTCAAAGTGAGCTGGAAGGTCACTACACACGAACAACCCTTTTTATATTCAATGCATAAGTGTAAGACATAAAAATAATGTACCAACTCTATCTATAAATATTTATTTTTTCTATTTTGTTTTGCTATTAACAGATTCATTTAAGATAAACTTTTCACACTAAAAACACAGAAAGATATATCAAAACAGTACCCATCTCTAGTAAAAAGTTTCAATGGATTGTTCACTTACTAACTTACTGAATAATATAACCATTAATTTATTTTTCAAAACTCCAGCATGCATTTGATTTTTTAAAGGGATGAAAGTCAAAGAGAAGCTAGCATTCATCTCACATAATAACTATTCAACTCGCCGATCCCTTCATAAGCAGCCGTTCGCCAAGTCTTGAGATTTCAGTGGCCAACACATAAAAGTGGTTCTAATTATTCACATTTTAGAAAGGATGTTATCTTTTGCCAGTTTATATTTATCCTTTTTATAGTACACTGATTATTTGTGACTTGTTCAAATGATATACTTCTAAATTGAAGCATATTAGACTCATATCAGAATTAACTGCTATTTTGTTGAGCGGTTTGTATGTCTTTTTAGCAAACGTGCTTAAGAAGCAAGAACTATAAATGGTAAGCATTTGTGCTTCGTAACTATGCATAATCTATTAAAAATTTTGAAGGACAGAGAATAGAAAATTATACAAAAAATAGCCTATTATTTCAGAAAAATAAAGTGATTATGGATACCTTTTGATACAAGATTATACATTAAAAGAAGCATGGTTAAAAAGAAATCAAAAAAATAAAAGCATAGTTTTAAAATATATGTTAACTGGTTAATTTGTGGCTTTGAATAGTTAACAGGAGAGATGCTCTGATGCGCGCACACACACATATACACACATACGTATATACACATGTACACATATAAATATATATTTTTGGGGGGTCTTTTTGAAACAGGGTCTTGCTATAAGCAGTTCAGGTGGCCTTGAGCTCATTCTGTAGCCCATGCTGGTCTCAAATTTGCAATGATCCTTCTGCCTCAGCCTCCCGAGTGCTGGGATTACAGGCATACACCTCCATGCCTGCCTTAATGTATTTTAATATATCTGATTTTTGTAGAGATAAAACGCTTTTACTAGCTACCTTCATGTGGGTCAAAAATGAAGAATATTATTAATATATACTTGATTTTTAAAAATAGCTATAAATATGCAATAGCATGTACATTTTAGTTAAAAAAAAAAAGCCAGAGGTTACACAGTTTTAAATCAAAAGTATGCAACTCCATACTATATTACTGAAAATTGTAGTTAACTCTTATTATTTACAAATCTAAACCTTAAGCTTGTTGGTATAGTACTACACAGGTTAAAAATTAACTATGAAAAAAGAAAGCTAACAAACATGCAAGAGACATAAAGCTGCATATAAAAAAATAATTTTAGGCAGAGAATTTAATATGCTTTAGCATCTGATATGTTTCAAGAGTTCTCTATTAACTTCACGCTTCACCTAGGCACCATAGGCCCACCTCGATTCACAACCGTTGAGGCAGGAGGACTGCTTGAGCCCTAGAGCTCAGGGCCAGCCCACGTAGGATAGTGTAATACCACCTCTTCAAAAAAAAATCAGTCTTGGAATTCTGACAAAGTCTCTAGGAAAGATTCCCCTGTTGCCTCAGCCTGCTTCTATGTGATTCTGCATGCATAGCAACCTTGCATGCTGCTTAGGCTGCAGGAAACCCTGGCACTCACCAATACAAAGCAGTAGGCATACAGCGCTGTACAATGATGAATTATGAAAAGCTTGTCACCAATCACTTTCCAATAGAAAATGAGAATCAACAAATCTGTAAGAAGGACAAATAGATGAGATATTACACAGGAAGAAAGCAGCATTGCTTCTCACATGTATTCAATTCTTCACCACCCACTCTGGGTCACAACACTTTGTTCGTCGCTCAGGTAGCCCAGCTACCCACTTTCTCATAAAGTGTCTGCCCCGGTGTATCTGCGTCACCCACAATGTTTCCTTCAGGACAAGGATCAAAGTGCATCTCTGTACGCCCAGAATCCAGCATGGGCCCAGGATGCATGATGTAATATACAGCATTTGCTGAAAGTATACATGTATAACTTGTTTCTGGGATTATAGAAGATGAAAATACTTTCAAATAAGAGATTAAAGTAAGCTTAAATTACTGATTTTTATAACTACAATCATGGAAATTGATAAAATGGTGGAAGAATATAAAATAATGAACTCATTTATAACTTCCAACATAAATTTTTAAATTAACAAAGCATGCAATAACTATTAATTCAAAACAGTAAAACCACCAAGAACTATGACCATTAAAAAGACATAGAAAGAAAAAGATGATGTATAAATTACTCTTAATTTTAAAACTTCTAAGTCTAATTATCATACTCCAGAAAAATAGTTTAATAAAATGGAAATTAATAAAGTGTTATCACAATTATTTTCTTTACGAAACAGTTAAACATAAACAGGGAAACTCCACCATGAATGGAGACCAGGGCAGGGCTCAGAGGTTTTGTGAGTCCACAGCTATACAATGTAGGAACCTTCTTGTATAAAATAAGAATTACTAGAAAAAACTAAATATGAATATTTAAAGAGAGGAATTAAATCACACATTTGAATAAGAAACCAAATACTGCCCCAAAATGTAGAAAAAAATCAAAATATTTTTAGTAATTAACTTCCTCATACCCCCCCCCAAATTTTTTCTACATATTTTAACTGTAGGTTCTTTAGTCACCAATTTATGTGACAATGATTTTGTAATAAGTTCTGGAGAGCATAAAATAAATTCACTGTTTGCAGTTCTCGGGCTTGAACCCAGGGTTTTGTCATGCCAGATAAGTTCTCTAGACCTGGGCAATAGTTCTAGGATAAATAAACTTAGGTTTAGGAAGGCTTGTTTCATTCATTACTCTTGATTATGTCTTCTTTTTTCATTGTTACCTTATTTGGGAATATTTTAATAAAGTGTCTTTCACGTAAGGTCTCCTGTAGGCAGCAGGAGGTAGGAAGACAGCTGTCTCAGAGTAGGGAGAAGATCAAGAAGACAACTCCATGCAGGACAGCAACCATTGTTGGATGCCTACTACTTTGTTTAGTGAAATTTTGTATAGTTGCTAATGCTGTTTTTTTCGATCACTGTTTTGTATTCTTTAAAAAATAAAAAAATAGAGACAGAGAAGGAAGAGGAAGGAGGGATATTATGTGTGAAAAAGGAACTGTGATGTGCTATGTCCAGGTACCAGCTTCTCACAGGGAATGTGAGCACTATGTGGCACACACATGTATTACTAACCTAAAATAGAATGTAAAACAAGAAATTCAATGTGCCAGAGAAATAGCAAAGAGAAAACTAAAATTTAGGAGTGTACTTATAGATGATGGAATGAAGTTTAATTTTTATTTTGTTCTTTATTTTGCTCCACTTCCCAAACATTCCACTATAAATAACGTCTGTTACATTCTGAAAACGTTACTTTAAGACAAAGAAATCATTATAGCAGAAAGAGGTCAATAGAGAAGAGAATAATCTGATTTTGAGTTTGTTGCTATTGTTTTTTTGTTATGCTGAGGACATTCTCAGAATTTATTTATACCAAACCTGCAAAAATGGGCTTCATCTCCAGTACAAGTTGCTAACCCTTTTATGGGGGAACTGTACACCTATTTGTACATAAATAAAGGTGTAGGGGAGCCCCCCCCAAAAGAAAGACACTCAGAAGATCTCTTGGAGATAGTTACCTCTGAACTGACAGCACTCACGGAGCAGTGCTTGGAGCGCATTACACAGTCTGTGTCAGCCTTGTCAGAGATACTGTGTTCTGCGAGACGAGCAAATCCTTTCCCAGTGTGTTCATTATTCACTTATTTAATTGGACTCTAACATATAATCCAACAATCTACTATTACTCTTCAAATCTTTTCTCTTTCTCTTAATGAAATACTTTTTTGATATAATCTGATTTTCTTTTACAATTCACTTCTTAATGGCACAAAATTTCCTACTGAATTAATCACTTTTATCACTTTTGTTTTTTTCTTTCTTTTTTTTTTTTTTTTTAATGTATTTGGTACAGGATCTCACCATGCAACTCAGACTCACAGTGATCCTCTTGTTTAATCCTCCCCGGTGCTGGGCATATTTCAAAATTTTGAGTAGGCTTTTCTTTCAGTTACCTTATAAGTTTACAATTTACTAAATGGTTCCTACACAAATACACAAACTACAGTTCTGAGTGTCTCTCTTGTTTATTAAGTTGGTCTAAATGTCTTTTCAAATGGCGGTCAATATAGAAGATTCTCATCTTCCCTTGGCCTGGCTGTAAGAAAAGCCAGTCTGATTCCAACTCAGACCTACAGTGGGAATCAGGAAGCCAGAGAAAAAGAGTATCATATTCTATCACCATCACAGATATTATTTTCATCTACATCAACTCCAAAAGCTATTCTCAAGTAAACTAAAAGCACAGAGTGTGTATTTTTGCATAACCCATGAGGAGCTTACATAGAGTCAGACAATGAGCAAAACACCACATACCAGAAATGAGGTAGCCTGAAGAGATAGCAATATTCAGTTTCACAAGTGATGAGTCGCCCCTATAAATATTAAGAGACAAAGGTGGTTTGTCTTTTTAAAAAATATACGGTTTACAGATGGCTGCTACATTTTTTTCTCTGAGGTTTAAATATAATGACCATCATCCTTAGCTATCATCATTTTTGTCACCACTCCTGTCTCACAGGCCTTCAATTAATGCTTTATCTCATGGAAACTTTTTGAAGCCCAGAGTACAAGGAGTCCTGACTCAGGAGCATAAGTCATGGAATAAAGTCACTGACAGATGAGTTGCCACTGCACTATGAACAGCCGACATGGACAAAAATCCTCATTTAAGGAGCGCTCCATTGCTGGACCTTAGAGATTGGGCCAATAGTTGCAAAGGAAACAGAGTTGCAAGAAGTTCGGGCTGGAATTTGGGTTTGGAGAGTAATATGTTCCAGAAGAGGATAACATCACTGTATCTGAATAAATATAGTTTTTATGCATGAATAAATGAATGAATATAGACTATTCTACATGAAAAATTAAGACACCCCTACAAATAAGCCCCATTGCGTCTTTCAGAGCAAAACTGTATGAGACCTGGTCTGATTTTCAGGGAAATGTAGTAAAGTCCTCTCACGTGTTCATCTGTGTTCTCATTTCATCTTTTTCATATCAAGACAATGAGTCAAAAAAAAAATTTGAAGGAAAAGCCTTAAGCAGACAGTAACCTAGCCACCTGCACGATTTCAGTAAATAATGAATGAATCAGACTTGCTGACAGCAGCGGTTCTAATAACTCGGCCTCGTACCCTAACACTACATGTATGCTGTCCTACTGTGGTCTCCTTGTTTCAGACAACACTTACAATATTATAAAGGCAAAACGGCTCTTTCAGTTTGTACTGATTTTTATCTTCTTTGCTAAAGTAAGTCTAACTGCAAGCATTTGAATGAAGCATATACACCATTGATAAATTTTGTTTTAAAGTAAAGTGACACTTGTATTAACAATTTGAAGGCACATATCACATTGACCAGCTTAGGAAGAAGCAGCTTACCAAAGTGGGTCAGCTTTAGTTGCCTCATCAAAGAAGAAAATATACAGGCCCAAAATTCCAATCACCAAAGAATGGCACGTAGATACTACCCTGAAATTAAACAAAGTACATATTAAGTTTCTAGATTCCTTGGACTAAGCTTTAACTCATTCTGATAAGACATTTAACATACTGAAAAAATTACTCAGTACTTCAATGCTCTAACACATAGAGGGAAAGAACATCTGAGAGTACAATAAAAAAAATTGACATTTAGAAATCTGAGGGTCACAACTTTACCCTGGAATGAGTAAGAGAAAGAATGCCAAGGTCTATAATTTCATGCTAGAAAACCAGTGAATCATTTCTTGGCCAAAGTTATAAAGTAGAAGCGTACATAGTGATGCAGTCACTCGTCTTGGGCACTCGTTGTGACAGCGACCAGCACCCTGCGCCCTCCGCCCTGCTCTGTGCTCCATCCCCACAGGGTTGCTGCAGGGCATCTTCTCCTCCACTCGCTGAGAATGACTCCCAAGGCTGCTGGCCTTCCCCAGCTCCCGTTCATGCTGCTGGTTGTCGTGAGCCGACGGACTCGCATGTGCCAGCCAAGCTCTCTGCCATGGAGCTCCAGCTCCAGCTCTGGCCTACCTACTGCACATCTTAAAACAATCTAGATGGCTTACAACAAGGAAATTTGTTATCTCCAGAAATTTCAGTTATAAAAATACACTGATGTGCATTATTAAATGTGACTCATGTAAGCACTTCAAAATAGAAAAGCTGAGGACTCTAAGTTTATGTCGTTTTGCTACATATTTATTGATTGGCTGTGAGGCCTTGCTGTGCTGCACAGGCTGGTCTCAAACTCATACGATCATCCCAAGAGGCTGGGACGACAGACGTGCACCATCACACAGAGTTAGAAAACCCACATTTGAAATGAATACTCAATGAAAGCAAAATGTTCACAAGATCCAAATATTTTTCTTTATAAAAGGAATAAAAGAAGAGGGATATGCAGAGACAGCTCAGTGATCTAAGCACCTGCCTGGCAAGCACAAGGACCCAGGTTTGATCCCAGTACCACAGGTAGTGCCAGCCCTCAAAGCGGGCGTGGTGGCACATGCTTGTAATACCAGCACTGAGGAAGCTGAGACATGAGGATCACTATGAGTCTGAACTGTGCAGTGAGACCCTGTATCCAATTTTTTAAAAAAGTTAGAAGAAAAATATCAGTTTCTATGAATTATCTCCCTCATTTAATGATTGAATCCAACTGTTAGGATCTGCTACTTCAAGTATGCAAGATGCTCTGCAGCTGTCCACAATGAAGATTTTTTTTGAATCAAACAATTTCAAATTTCTCATATCTTTACTTAGAAGTTTATAAGCAAAGAAGTTTCTTTTCATCGAAATAAAGAATGAAAAATTAACCAGTAATTACTAATGTGGAATGAATTTCTATAATGACCCCAAATCAAGAGAAATATATGCACCAGTGTTAAGTTTGATATGAAAAATTTCATTGTGAGTAGAAAATTCAATACCTTTGGTCTAACAGATGCTGCACTCTGAAGCAGGTACACCATGCAATCCCAGTTATATTCTAAATTCACAGAAATTCTCAATAATTTAATCACTGAGAAAGAATTCTTTGTCATTCCAAAGGATAATTTTGAAGTGTGAATAATTAACCTAATTTATCTGATTTACAACCCTGGAATTTTCACACTAAGCACACCTGTATTCTATTTGTGTATAGCAAGACAAAAATGTAAATCCCTTAGTAACAAATAAAATACTACATCTAAATAACCATACAGACATCTCCTGCTGTTATTCAAAATTTCTATGAAAGGAAAAAGCATAATCTCACTAACAAATCTGTCGTACTAACTCAAAATTTAGCAGCTCAACTTTTAGTAAGTTGAAAGGTTTCCTTTTGGAAAAAATTAACTTTCTATTTATTTCTGACACTCAAGTTTCAAATGCCCTTCTCTGCTGCGATGTTCCATGGCCAACAGGAAGCATCATAAGCCCTCAGAGGATGGAAATTCACACAGAATTCAAGAGACAAAAGTTACGTGCTGCTTAGCCTGGTCAAATAGCTCCCACCATACCGAACAGGAAAGGCAAGCATCTTGCATGGACACAGTATTCTGTGTTTGAAGTCTACACTTTCAGAAAGTGCTGTTGGTAAAAATTTCGTATTTTAGTCTTTAAAATCAGATTCTTGGCAAAGCAAAATATAGAATCCTTAATATCTAAAAAAAACCCTAAAATAAAATATTTCCTCTTTAGAAGATTAAAAGGAAATATTTGTACTTATAGAGACAGCATTTATGGCGAGATAGCTCAGCGGTCTAAACTGCCTGCTTAGGCAAGCTTAGGCAGGCACAGGGGACTGCGGTTCAATCCCCGGCACCACGTGCCACACCAGCCCTGCCCTCAGGGGGCTAAACTGGCAAAAAAAAAATAAAATAAAATAAAAAAAAGTAGAGACTGCATTTTTAAAGGAAAGAGTGACATGTTAGAAAAACAATTTAAAGTTACTGATTTAACCACAAGTTTAATGTATTTCTATTACAAATCATAAAGCTCTAGCAGTCAAAATAGCCAAATTTTGGAGAAACATTTGAAAATTAGTTATATTTCAACACAATAGGATATTGTATGCCATGAGTAAGCAACTGAACATAAGCAACTCAAAATCTTTAATTGTACGATATAGAATATATACATAGATGTCTTCAGATGAATCAACAAGTAAGCTCCACTTCTTACAACTACCTGTCACACACATTTTCCAGTAGTTTACCCTAGTCTTTCTCTACCAGATAGCCTAGAACACCCCGTCTGTGTGGAGACCTTCCTTATTACCTGACAGAATGGTGTATGTTGTCATGATTTGTATGTCTCAAGATCAAAGGCTCAACTTTGTGCCTTGCAAAGAAAATTTTCTTGTTCTTCATATTTCTCATTTGTTATACTTTTCTGCCCCACAGCTTAAATCCCAAGCAGGAGCAGAAAGCAGGAGTAAGTTTGAGATTAAAAGAAAGTGCCCGGGGCCAGCCAGATAACTCAGTGGACTAAAAGCACCTGCTTAGGCCGACGCAGCGGCCAGGGTTCAATCCTTGGCATGCCGTGGCAGCCCTGCCCCACGGGTGCGCTGAGACAGTGATTAAGACTAGGCATGGCGGAGCGCGCCTGTAATCCCAGCGCTTGGGAGTCTGAAAACAGGAGGATCACTATGAGTCCAACCTACACAGTGAGATCTGTAGACCCTCTACTAAATACATAAAAAATAAAATAAAATAAAAAGGGCCCCATGGGAAACTAAATGAATCCTAGATAATTCCACATTCCTTTCTCAAATAGGAACTCAGCGCCCAAATGGTAACTTCCTACATCACAGAACTGCAGTGATGAGACTGTATAATGCAAAAATAGCTTTCAGTTCCATCACTTGCTTTCACCTTTGCTTTTCTAACTCTGGGTACTCTCTATACATCCCTGGCTTGCAACTACCCAAGACTCAAAACTCTTTTCCCTGCTCTAACCAAAGTGAAAAGGAAATAGAGTTCAAAATGTAGAGCATGTTTGTCTTTCCTATTCTTTTGCTCTCATTTCATCTAACTTCAAACGTGCAAAAGGTTTTTGAGGTCATGGTATTAGCAGCACCTCACATGTGAACAATACCTCTGTGCCAGTCTCAAGACAAAGAATCACACCTCTAGCATTCTTAAAAATATGTAAACAACACACACACACACACACACACACACACACACACACACACAGTCTGGGCAGCTCTCAGGCTCCACTGACCTGGTGGCCACATGCTGGACCGAGCCAGCACTCTGGCTCTGGAGGAGGCCTGGGCGGAGAGGAGGCGGGCAGGAGTGCCTATGCGGACCCTCTGGCCCCACATGTTGGAGGTGAGGGCACCGTGCAGACCGTCTCTGCAGCCGCACCCAGCCTGCAGGCTAGCATCCACCGTGAACTGCTGACCAAGAACAACTGCGTGTGAAGCAGGAGCACACGCAGTAGTTAAAGAGCAAAGGAGTGGAGGAAGGAAGAAGTCAGAGATGGTGCGGCTTCCAGCTGGAGCCCCTGTTCATTCACCCACAGCTGCAGCTGGCTTTTCCCACAAAGTAGATTGTGAAACTTCCACTAATACCATGCTTTCCAAGGAAGTTCCAAAGAACCACCACAGAAGACTGTGACTGTGGTTCCAGCTCGAGTGAGACAGCTGTTTGCTGGTTACTAAAGCATTAAGAGTATCTAAATAAAGCAAGGTGGATGGAGTGGATGTTGAACTGTGGAAAATCAACATGATAGGTCCATTATAAAGGCACCCCTTGGGGCCTGGGGAGATGGCTCAGTAGAATAAGCGCTTGCCTGGCAAGCACAGGGTCCTGAGTTCAACCCCTGGTACCGCCAAAAAAAAAGAAAAAAAGGTGCACCTAAGCGCAGTGACAGCGCACTTTGTCTCCTTCATTCCAGTCACTTGTTAATGTACTGTCTTTCAGTATCCTCAACAGACACCATGCTCTACAGCAAGAGAAGCAGCTATCAGTCATTTTTTGCTTGAAACTTTGAGATTAATGTCTCTCTCTCTCTCTCTCTCTCTCTCTCTCTCACACACACACACACACACACACACACACACCTGCAAACAACTTATGGAAACTTCAGAAGATTTATTTATTCATAAACTATTTTTTTTCACTATTTTGTTTAAAAAAATCCACTAGGCAGTTTTTATTTTAGAGTTAGATAATAAAAGAATGATTTATCTAAGGTTGTAATTACAATGCAAAGTTCATTAAAGATAGATATATTAATTATATATTATGTTTTCTGGTCTTACACTTCAACAGCTGTAAGCTAGCCAGTACTATATATATATAAGCTATTCATGAATGTTTACTTCTGTTACTATTGCCAGATATGTGTCTCTTATAAATACTTCACAGAAAAATTCAAAATAATACACTTGCACAATCAGCTGGTCAACTTCCCCAGAAAATTAAATAAATTTTTTCTATCATCTTTCAATATAACAGTTCTTAAAATTTTTTTCTTGGAGATCTGTCTACTTGTCTTTCTTTTTATTCCTAAGCTCAAACACAAAGTTATTTTTGAATCATTTTAAATATTTTTATTTCATAATGCTTAAGTTAATTACATTTCTATATGCTTTACCTTGAGTTCCATTCTATCTTCTTTTCCAAACTGAGACTATTGAAACCTGAAGAAACTTTTGTAGAAAACCAGTAACTTACAAAGTGGAAAAGAAACTGAAAGGTGAGAAAGCTTGTACAAACAGTGCTGATGACCAGTGTGGTGTCGAGATCCATATTTCTTCAACCTGGCAAGAGAAAACAACAACTATAAATTATTACCTTACAATAACCCAGGATGAAGTGTTTCCATTTAAAAGTAATATTTCCATTTTTAGGAATAAATTCAACTACTGAAGCCAATTCATTAGAGAAAAGCCAATTTAGCGCAATGTAAAAATACAAAGAAAATATGAAATTGTGGGCCTTCTGCATTTCTTGTCCTTTTCCATCTCTTCAACTTACCTTTGTGCCTGAAAACAAGTAAAAGCCTATTATTTTAAAGATCATAAATTTCAGAAGATATTTTAAAGTCATGATATTCAAAATTATCTATGCCTAAAATTTAACATTAAGAAGGAATGGTCAGTATTTTAATTTATTCTTTTTAATAACATTTTCAATCATAATTAGCATAAATTGCATGATTTCTCTCTGATTCAATTTTTTCATCTATGAATTGAGAAAGTTGGTTAACTGCTAAGTACCAATCAAGTAAAAAACATAATACAAGGGCCAGGGAGATAGCTCAGTAGAATCAGTGCTTGCCTTGCAAGCCCAAGGTCCTGAGTTCAATCTCCAATACTGAAAAAAATAAAAAATAAGACATTTTCTGCAGTAACAAAACAGTGGCTGAAATTCTGCCAGGCAAGTGCTAGGTCTTGAGTTTGATCCAAGTTTAAAAAAAAAAAAAAAAAAATTGCATAACAAAAAACAAATTTTAACCAGGGCTATATAGCTCAGTAGCACATACAATGCCTGACTGGCAAGCACAAGGTCCGGAGTTTGATTCCTGGTTAAAAAACAAACAAAAAAATATATATGTGTTTATGTGGGACAAAACACAAACAAAAACAAAAACAAATTTAAAACAAAAATTTAAATTAGTATTTTAAATTAATCCAGCACACACTCTTAACCGCAGCATCCACAAGGCCGAGGCGGGGGAGCTAGTGCTCTGACTTCTAGGCCAGCCTAGGCTACATAATGAGTTCAAGGCCAGCCTGTACAGCACAGCTTTATGATAGAGACAGCAGGAAGAACAGTAATATGCATACTTACACACAAACACACGCTCATACCCAAAGTATGTTTTCTATCTCATTGAGCTGAACTTTATTTGGTTCCAAAAATTCTTAGGAACATTCAGGACAAAAAAAAATATAATAAAGTATTTGATCATATCCAGCAAATATAGCATTTCTATGGCTCCTTCTTTGATACAGTTGATCCTCAAATGAAAAGGAGATGAATCAATACACATTTCCAGCTACTTAATGGGAAGAAATCAAGATACCTACAGGCGCCAACTCGCTAGAGACAAACCAAGTCAGTGACTGCATGAACGAGCAATAACCCCACTTCATTCCCTTCCAACCAGGATATCACAATAACAATCAGTCTCCCACAGGACCCCTTCTGACAAAATTCATACATCTGTAATGATTTCTGTTCTCAATTTTTTAGTTTGTGTGCCTGGTAAAATTATTAACATTGTAATTTTTCTCTGTGACACGCCATTAACTTTAATGCTCATTTTTTAGTTCAATATGTGTTTATTAGATATTAATTTTTTCTAATTTGTGGCCTTAAGCCTACATCTAATATTAACCAAATAATACATAGAAGGAAGTTTTATAGATACAGTAAACATCATTATAATTTGCTATGTGAGATAGAAAGTGAAAATATTTTTCTAAGATTAAAGTACACAGAGATCTGGAGGCCAGGTGGACAGAAAACTAAAGAAAACAGAACCACACAGTAGAAGAGAGTGTGCATCTAGTCTTCATGTGAGAGTCGATGGCCGGGAAGGCCCTGGCTGATCCCTCTTGGGCCTGGAGCAGTCTACAGGCATGGGCTGCTCCTGAACTTCTGTCACAGTTCAACACATGCCATGAGCATTTCAAGACAGTTTTTTAAAAGTTGTCATAAAAACATGACATCTGACCAAAATTATGGTAATATTAAATTTTTCTAATGTATTACAGTAGATACATTAGATACATTGCCATTAGTTCCCCTCAAAAAATTACTCTTCCTTTTGAACATCCATATCCTATGGTTCTCACCACTTTCTAAAGCTGCTCTGGAAGCCCTTTTTCATTTTTAGTCCTGCTGTCATAGCTGCCTCGATGTCCTAAACTCATGGAAAACATTTGCCATTTATGGTCGTTTTGACTTTGGCAAAGACCCAGAGGTTGCATGATGCCAGATCTGGTGAACAAGGCGGACGGGGACGCACTGGGAGGTTTTTATAAGCCTGGCTTTGCAGTGGACGGCACCTGGCAGCCACATTCACCAATTTTTTATCATACTATGCAAAGACACACACAAAAGATGACTTTGAGATCCGCTTCAAAAAGTTGCAAAAAGTAACGGGAGTGTGCAAAGCAGGGAGGAGCATTCTGAGGGGAATTCGTGGCAAGTGTCTCTTACTGTAATATGTTTAATGTAAGATGTAGCTTAAGCATATATTTTCACCATATATTTTGATCATGCCTCATTTTTATATCATGCAACATTATATAATTAGGAATTGTTAATTTAAATGAAACATTAAAAAGTATTCAATTCAAAATTATGAAATTTATTCTTCCCCCTAAAATCTAGTTTTTATTAGGTCTTTGTTATATTGGATGAATATTTTATTTTTCAGAACTTATTTTCAGTTGGTCTTTGGGATATATCTTTGGAGTTTCCCTTTCAAAAATGTTTCATTTAAAACTAAATAAAATGTTCCTCGTATTCAAGCTAGAGCTTCTATTAAAGGCTCAACAGACAGAAGCCAATTAAATTGTTCTTCTGCCGGCTTTGCCTCTTAATAAGCAGCTGCCAAATCATCACAAATCAAGAACTAATCCAGAGATTTTTACAAATGTCCCCAGAAAATCAGGACTTTTGGATGGAAACAGCTCCTCTGTTCATTCTTTTCAGGAGCCTCAAAGAGGCAAGGAGATGTCAAATTGGATAAAAGCAAATGATGCTCATTAGTACCACAGATAAGAGCCTCTTAGTTTGGTGATCATGAGGCACAGGAACATACTGAGCAAAAATAGGGTAGGATTAGACCTCATACATACAGCTCTACATGGAGCTAGCAGGGGGCAGAAGGCTGAGAAACCAGCTCTCCTAGAAAAGAGCTATACAACATGTACAGGAAATATTTCTAGTATAATTCACAAGATTATCTAGACATGATGTCTGTAATATAATTATCCCATCTGGATTCACAGGAATTGTGGATAGCAGAGAAACCCTTCCAGAGACCTGCTGAATACAATGATGTTTGTATTATGCCCCCCCAGGCAGGATAAACTAACTGAAGCTGGCTTCCTAGTGAAGAAATGAAAGGGTTTGGAGCAGGCCTATCCACCCTCCGCTATGCAAGCCCCCCTCTTCCAGCCCCTCTCTTCCCAGAGGCAGGGACCCCAACACAGAACTGCCAGGGCCGACTGTCTTCACTCCGCCAACAGACCATCCAACACCTGCACATGTCTATGGTATCCCAGGCCCTGTGCTGGCGCTAGGTATGCTAAATGCGAGGCATCTTTATAAGCCAGCAGAGAAGCCCAGAAATTGATTCTCAGCAAGTAAAGTGGTGAGTTCAGGGTGCTAAAAGGATAGTTCCTGTTCTGGGGGGAGAGGGAGGGGTGCCCAGTGGATGTGATACAAAAATAGTGAAGAGCTAGCCAAAGGTACTCACTGTGAACTAAACGATTACTTCCTCTTCTATTAAAGTTCCAACACTGTGCTCTGAGGCCAAAGCCTAAAAGACTCCACTAGCTGAATTTAGAACCAACTCCCTCAACCCCAGCCATTAGCTCTCATTTCCTTGTTAGTCATTCCCTTGGAAATACAAGGATTCCTTGGAGAATCTGCCTGAATCACCAATGCATTTCCACATACGCACACACTTCCACTTCTTCACATTCCTACTCAAGTCCCAGCTAAGAACCACTTCTGTAATGTTCTGCAGAAAAAACAAAACAAAACACCTTACTGGAGGATATCTTTGTGTTTGCCTCTGAGGTAAGCTGGAAAACCATCTCTCTCCTTCAGGCCTTGCATTCCTTTTCTAACCTTTAGCAAGCTCCCTTTCCTATTTGAGTTCCACTTCTCCTGTAATAATTTATAGGTTATGGCCCTAGTAAGAATTGTTGAATTATTACGGTGGTCATCTAATATGGCTGAAGCCCTTAAAAACAACAGTTCATCTTCCCAGAGACCACCTCCCCTCTTCTCCAACTCAGCCCAGGATGCAGTTTCCTTTCACCTTTCTCTCCACCTCAGGGGAGGCCCCAATCAGCTCCTCAGGTCTATCTAAACTTCCCCCTCAAGCCCCACCCCTGGAAAAGGCCATAAAAGCCTCAGCCTCCTTTTGTTCCAATACAGAGAATTCCTTATCTTCCCAAATTCTCTCTGTGTCCTCTAAGATAATGAAGTCCCTTTTCCTTTATAATAAAGCCCCTTTCCCCTTTCCTTCTGAGTGTTTCTCTGCTGTGACACCGTTAAAATCTATCAATAATAACCTATCTTCCCATTTCACCAAGAAGGCAAAGGCTACCAGGCATGCAGCCCCTTAGCTCAGCAGTGCTGACGGCTCCTTCCTGCCCAGTGCAGCCCCTCTCTCTGCACTCCAGAGTCCACACTCCCTCTGCCCTCTGCCCTCTGCAGGGCACACTCTCAACACTGCTCATGCTGCGCGCAACTGCAGCTCCCCACACGGTGCACATGGCGTTGGGTGGCCCACCAACCTGTAGAGGGCCCCATATGGGCATCTAGAGGCTCGGGAGCTGCCATCAGCCCAAGACACCCTGAGCCCCAAACCAGCCCTTCTCCCGGGCTCCTAATCTTCGTGAACAGCACCGCCATCCACAACGCTGCCCTCTCTCCCAACCTAGAAAAGCGCTGCCACCCTTGGTGCCTTCCCAGCCCTTCCTCCCACAAATGACTGACGAATCCTGGTGGGCTACAGAATACCAGGAGAAGGATAACTACATTCCAGTGAAGTGCCACGAGTTGCTCT